CCCACCCCCCCCGCCCCCCCCCTTCCCCCCCCCCCCCCCAAAAAAAAAGCGCCGATCAAAACTTACCGCAATAGGGGCTCCAGGATATTTCTGTGGTAAACCTAGGGCCTATCTAGGGCCTATCTAGGGCCTATCTAGGGCCTATTTAGGGCCTACATGGACATATTAATTTTTTAATGGCAAATTAAAGACTCCTCACCCACACATACACACACAAAGAAAGAAAAAACGAAAATAATGTAAATATTTATTTTTTTTACTTCAATAAATATAAATAAATGACTATCTTAAAAGATCGCAGGAAGAATTACAGCTATTTGGCACGCTGAAGAAAACTATAAAGTCTAGAATTTTCCAAAAGGGTGCCACCCCCTGGCATGCAGAGGCGAAACGAGAGGGGTGCAGGGGGGGACAGATGTCCCCGGGCGCCAGGTAGTTAGGGGTGCCAAAATGTGCTTTGATATTATTTTATTGATGAAAATAATGGGCTTGAGAGTTTCAAAAGAGAAAAAGGGGCGCTTTAAAATGGATCTTGTTCCCGGGCGCGAATCTTGTCCCCGAGCGCAAAACACCCTCGCTACCCCGCTGATGGCGTGCTGGACAAGAGGAATAGTACATTAATGACATATAGTTAATCTGGTTTCTGTTTTAAATAAAACCGAATATCTGCTAACCCAATGATAACCAAAAAAAAAAATGTTCATTATGTCCCTTTATTTTCAGGAATGCTGCGTGTCTACCCCCCGTGCCTCCATCTGCGCGAAACTGATTACCTTTGATACAAGTAATGTCATAATTTATAAAAAACAAAACTTTAAGCTTTATAACTCTTCTTTTACGAAGGCATATGTTCTCCTCTCATGTTAATATGCCGCATAAAATGAATATGTTAAAAATAATATAACCGTGTTATATTTTCCATCTCATGCATGCTTAATCGATGACACAATGTTAATGTCACCCACATTTTCTGACGTGGGCCTATCTGTATGGGAGATTTGGAGTATACCACTAGATAAATTTGATATTTTAAAAAAATAATAAAGTTAAATAAACAGCAAGTCAGGAAGATGTGCAGTTGGTGTTGCTTAAGGGGTGGTAGCGTCAAAATATTTTTTTCGATAATCTCATTTCTCAACGCATGTGTATTTTCAGTAAATATTACCAGAGTAAAAATTATGTGTTGATAATGCATTTTGAAATTAATATCTTAAAAAAGAAACTAAATTCTTAAAGTTAATTTAGTTCCTCAATCGACGTTGTGCTCTAACATCTCCCAGTCTCCCCCCCCTCTTATCATGTTTTAACATCTCGCATTCTCCCCCTCTTATCATGCTTTAACATCTCGCATTCTCCCCCTCTTATCATGCTTTAACATCTCGCAGTCTTCCCCTACTATCATGCTTTAACATCTCACAGTCTCCCCTTCTTATCATGCTCTAACATTGCAGCAGTCTCCCTCTCTTATCATGTTTTAACATCTTCCTGTCTCCCCCTCTTATCATGCTTTAACATTTCGCAGTCTCCCCTTCTTATCATGCTCTTCCATTGCAGCAGTCCCCACGCTCTTATCTTGCTTTAACATCTCCCAGTCTCCCCCTATTATCATGCTCTAAGATCCTCCAGTCTCCCCCTTTTATCATGCATGCTCTAACATCTCCCAGTCTCCCCCTTTTATCATGCATGCTCTAACATCTCCCAGTCTCCACCTCTTATCATGCTCTAAGATCTTCCAGTCTCCCTCTTTTATCATGCATGCTCTGACATCTCCCAGTCTCCCCCCTTATCATGCTCTAACATATCCCAGTCTCCCCCCCTCTTATCATGCTTTAACAGTCTCTTAGTCTCCCCCTATTATCATGCTCTAAGATCCTTCAGTCTCCCCATTTTATCATGCATGCTCTAACATCTCCCAGTCTCCCCCTCTTATCATTCTCTACCATTACAGCAGTCTCCCCCTCTTATCATTTTCTACCATTGAGCATTCTCCCCATGTTATGATGTTCTACCATGGCAGCATTTTCCACCTCTTACCATGATCTATAATTGCAGCATTCTCCCCCTGTTATGATGTTCTACCATTGCAGCATTCTCCACCTCTTACCATGATCTATCATTGCAGCATTCTCCCCCTGTTATGATGTTCTACCATTGCAGCATTCTCCCCCTGTTATGATGTTCTACCATTGCAGCATTCTCCACCTCTTACCATGTTCTATCATTGCAGCATTCTCCCCCTGTTATGATGCTCTACCATTGCAGCATTCTCCCCCTGTTATGATGCTCTACCATTGCAGCATTCTCCACCTCTTACCATGTTCTATCATTGCAGCATTCTCCCCCTGTTATGATGCTCTACCATTGCAGCATTCTCCCCCTGTTATGATGCTCTACCATTGCAACATTCTCCACCTCTTACCATGTTCTATCATTGCAGCATTCTCCCCCTGTTATGATGCTCTACCATTGCAGCATTCTCCCCCTGTTATGATGCTCTACCATTGCAGCATTCTCCCCCTCTTATCATTTTCTACCATTGAGCATTCTCCCCCTGTTATGATGTTCTACCATGGCAGCATTTTCCACCTCTTACCATGTTCTATCATTGCAGCATTCTCCGCCTGTTATGATGCTCTACCATTGCAGCATTCTCCACCTCTTACCATGATCTATCATTGCAGCATTCTCCCCCTGTTATGATGCTCTACCATTGCAGAAGTCTCCCCCTGTTATCATGTTCTAACATTGCAGGGGCAAAAGTTTGCACGCGCCTGAAACGCTGCGGCTCAGATGCCGACTGTTTCAGTCCAAACGGCTGCTGTGTGTACAATATCTACGCCACTGCTGACGTGACCAGCCCCCCGGCACCTGACTACTACAAGTACCCGCCCAGCTCTAAACCTGGTCAGATCGTGCCGCCGCTGGTTGGTGTCTGTCTGCCAGCATTTAGTTTAGACAACCGTATGTCTTTTAATATTTTAGTTTGGTTTCATTTTATTTTCTTAAACGCCTGCCATGCTTTAGAAATTAAAACACAGTTTAGGACAAAACCTGAAGAAGGATAAAACAAGACAGCAGACATTTAGGCTGAAAATCAGCAGCGGCAGAAAAGGACAACATAATAAAGATAGATAAGGACAGGCAAGGAAAACACAACTTGGCTTGATTTGGAGTCGACCAGAAATAATTCAAATCTAACAGTAGACAAGGAATAGTCTCTGAGTAACCATCTAATTAAGGATGACGATTATTGCTTGAACAAGAATGCAGTCCCCTCCCCTTTTATCCCAATAACATACTATCATACATGAGGTTTGCTTGGTGAACACTTTGACCGTCTTGGGCGGCAAAACCATTGACTGGACCGATGGGTGGAGGGGGGGGCAGTAACCCACTAGGTTATCAGCACGAAAAATATAGCTAATAAAAGTTTTAAATATTTAAATAAACACTGTAGCAGATTGTAATGTCTTCTTATCATGAAATTAAGGTTAGATATATATTTAATAATTTCGTATCTATTTTTTCAGCCTGCGCTGTTTCAATAGATCCACTGAGTACCAATTGTCCATGTTTAACTGGATTAACCTGCCAACCAGATGTGCCTGGCTCAATAATTGGTAGAGACATTTATCGCTGTGCTAGTCTATTCCACTCTGTCTATCATTGTTATAGTATATTCCACCGTTTCTAACATTGTGCCAGTCTAATCCACTGTTTCAAACATTGTGCCAGTCCATACCACTGTTTCTTGTATTGTCATAGCCTATTCCACTGTTTCTATCAGTGTGCTAGTCTGTTCAACTGTTTCTTTTATTATGCTAGTCTGTTCAACTGTTTCTTTTATTATGCTAGTCTGTTCAACTGTTTCTTTTATTATGCTAGTCTGTTCAACTGTTTCTTTTATTATGCTAGTCTGTTCAACTGTTTCTTTTATTATGCTAGTCTGTTCAACTGTTTCTTTTATTATGCTAGTCTGTTCAACTGTTTCTTTTATTATGCTAGTCTGTTCAACTGTTTCTTTTATTATGCTAGTCTGTTCAACTGTTTCTTTTATTATGCTAGTCTGTTCAACTGTTTATTTTATTATGCTAGTCTGTTCAACTGTTTATTTTATTATGCTAGTCTGTTCAACTGTTTCTTTTATTATGCTAGTCTGTTCCACTGTTTCTATCAGTGTGCTAGTCTGTTCAACTGTTTCTTTTATTATGCTAGTCTGTTCAACTGTTTCTTTTATTATGCTAGTCTGTTCAACTGTTTCTTTTATTATGCTAGTCTGTTCAACTGTTTCTTTTATTATGCTAGTCTGTTCAACTGTTTCTTTTATTATGCTAGTCTGTTCAACTGTTTCTTTTATTATGCTAGTCTGTTCAACTGTTTCTAAAATTGTTTTAATATTTTTATCTATTTCTATTACTGTGCAATTCAATTCTACTGTTTCTCTAAGTGTGCTAGTCTATTCCACTGTTTCTATTAATGTGCTAGTCTATTCCACTGTTTCTATTATTGTGCTAGTCTATTCCACTGTTTCTATTACTGTGCAATTCAATTCTACTGTTTCTCTAAGTGTGCTAGTCTATTCCACTGTTTCTATTATTGTGATACTATATTCCACTGTTTCTATTATTGTGCTAGTCTATTCCACTGTTTCTATTATTTTGCTAGTCTATTCCACTGTTTCTATTATTGTGCTAGTCTATTGCACTGTTCATATTATAATGATAGTTTTGTGTCACGTATCCTCCTTCGATTGGTTTCTTTCATCAACATCTTTTACTCGCCATAAGTCGCCATAAGTCGTAATCACAGGGCATTGAACACAAGTCTTTTTACATTAGCAATGTCAACTCGGGTCTAGAAACATATCTATCAGGCTGTACAATGATCAAACACATGCATAAACGCAGCTTGCTAAAAGGAGAAGTAATGCAAAACCATTCACTACAAAGTCCTTTTTTAAAAAACTGCTGAACTGTAATGCACGTGCGTCAAGGGCAGTAAACAATGTATACAGATGATATTCAGAGCTCAAGCGACACCTTTCCGATCATAAATTTTTCTGATGATACCACCATCGTTGGCTTAACGAGGGAGAAGGCTTATACCGCAGTTTAATTTTAAGCTTGATCAATTGGTGCGATGAAATTTTTTTCAAACTGAATGTCTCAAAAACAAAGAAAATGGTTGTTGATTTCAGGAGATGAAAAAACCAGATTACAGATCTCAACATAAAAATCAAAGTGTAGAGAAAGTAGAGGCATAATATAAGTACTTAGGACCCACCATTAATAATAAGCTAACAATGCATGAGCACAGCCATATGCTGTAAAAGAAATTCAACCAAAGACTGTTCTACCTCAAAAAACTGTACAATTTCGACGTAAACAAACAAGTCGTTAGCTTATTCTGCAGTGCAACAATTGGAAGCCTGCTTAATTTCAGTATTACCTGCTGGTGAGGGAATTCATCGTCTGATATTAAACACCGAAATAAACAGACTAATCAAGAAAGCTAGGAACATAACACACACTAAACATCCTTCACTTGAAGTACTATTTGAAGAAAGATGTTTTTTCTAACAATAAACACATTTTGCATGCTACATCCCACCCTCTTCATGACAGATAAGTAGGGTCGCCCTTTGGGGACGAATTCTCTCTCTCAGGGCGAGGACTGAAAGATATAAAAATTCTTTTGTTCCCCAATCTGTACGAATTTACCAGCGTGCTCCCCCTGAAGTCACACATCTTAATGAGAACTCATTAGTCCCTAGTATGACCAAGGGAATTTCTGAAGGGCTGGGTTTCTTTTTCACTAGTAATAAAACTTAATGTAGATGTCTTGTGTTTAAATTGTTTTATTTATGTGCTGAAAATGTACAATGCAATGAAAAAACATTTCCATTTGTTTGGACCAATGAAAGAATCTCATCTTATCGTAAATCTCAAAACACGCCACGCGCAATAAAGGACACTTTTCCTTGCGCAACATTTACTAGTGAACACCCATACTCGACACCAGTCCAGCCCAGTTGTTTTATATCAATGAGGTAGTCTATTCATCTTTTCCTTGGACAGCGCTAGTGTTTTCCATTGTTTATATTATCGTGCTGGTCTATTCCACTGTTTCTAGGTTTAGTACTTGTCTGTCTCTAAGACACATTTCACCATGTCATTGTTTGCTGAATATGTACATATGTATACCTTTTAATGTGTCCATTTTATTTGTTACAGGAACGTGTGTTGATCCAGCTGGACTGATAGTGGTAGATCAATAAGCATCGCCATCACAGGCAAAAACCCCATTTGATTTAGATCAATATTAAACAAATATCTTACAACAAAGTATTTGCCTTTTTGTTGTTGTTGTTGTTTTGGGCTTTGTTCCATTAAATTTATAAATTGCTTTAAAAACCAAACTTGAGAATCGTTTCCCTTGGAGGTGAGTACGCAGGTCCTTCCGCCAGACTATCCGGTGCCATAGGCAACTGTGAGCTCCTTGTGCCCACTCCTCCCGTAAACAAAAGAAAAACACTACAAATTATAATACCTATAACTTGACATTGTTAATTTTTTTTTAAACTTTCTGGGTTTTTTTTTTTTTAAGTAATAAATCTATTAATATTTTTGATTTACACAAGTATTGTAGTTTATAAATATTTGAATATCTTTCACAAAAATAGAAACGTTTTATCCTGCCACATAATGAGCTCCTTGTGCCCACTCCTCCCGTAAACAAAAGAAAAACACTACAAATTATAATACCTATAACTTGACATTGTTAATTTTTTTTTAAACTTTCTGGGTTTTTTTTTTTTAAGTAATAAATCTATTAATATGTTTGATTTACACAAGTATTGTAGTTTATAAATCTTTGAATATCTTTCACAAAAATAGAAACGTTTTATCCTGCCACATAAATAAATAATTTTGAAACAAACAAAAAGTGGGAACATCTTGGTCTGGGAATGGTGTGATTTTAGATAGTTTAGCATAAAGTATAAACCGTCTCCTAATAGTTACCATTGTATGAACAGCACTCCTAGGGTGACGTCACAATTGTCTTCCCACAAAACAACCTATCAAACAAATAATGAAAACTTTTGTAGAATTAGGTCCAAGTAGCTGATCAAAAGAAAATATCAATAAAACCAAAATTATGGGAGAAGAGAAACTACAGAGACAATAGATTAGCCCCTAAATTTTACGGGTAAAAAAATAATTTTTGATATACAGTGTTACCTCGGCAGGAATAAGTCCAACTTGGTATACGTGCTGGTTGGGCGAGAAACATTTTGCTTGGTATACCACCTTCGTTTGGAATACGACCCGCTGGTCCATGGGCTGAATGAGAGGTGTCATCTTAGGGGGTAGGAACTTTACATTCACAGTGATGAAGTTAAACTCCGGCAGCATAGAGTCCTGCAAGCTGGAGCATTGTCCATTATGATGCGTGCCTTCAGAGGCAGGCTTTTCTTCTCTAAATAACTTTTTACACTTGGCCCAAACACAACATTAAACCAGTCGCTGAAATTCATATTCTCTGGTAACTCAAGCCTTGCTGTTTTATCTCCACATCACAGGTAACTGAGTTTTCTGCACAATATGGTTCTTAAAGGCCCTCGGGGTTTCAGAGTGGTAGACCAGTAGAGGCTTCAGTTTGCAATCCCCACTAGCATTACCACAGAACAAGAGAGTTGGCCTGTCCTTCATTTGGTTTGTGCCCTGGCAATGCCATCTCCTCTTGTGTAATGTAGGTCCTGTTAGGCATTTTCTTCCAAAACAGGCCTGTTTCATCACAGTTAAAAATTTGTTGGGGAACATTTATTTCACGTACGCTCTTTTTATTTATGTATTTTAATAATAAGCAGTGTTGTTAATTATTTTATACAACCACGTCAATACATGTATAATATGCCAATAACAATAGGATTTTTTTCATGGGAAAGGATTAATCATTTTCCATTGATTAATTAAGGGGAAAATACGTTTGGTATACGTCATGTTTGGTATAAGTCAAAGGACCTGGAACGGATTAACGATGTATACCGACGTACCACTGCATCAAATAAGCCATTATGGGGGGTACACAAAGACACGTGGGAGAAAACCTGGACGTTCTCATTGTTGACATGGGGCATATCAGCAAGGGCTTTCTTATTGCTCACGTGGAGTTTATTGCCAGGACATTGTCATTGTTTATATAGACATGTCAGCTGTGTCATAACTATCTAACGCTAATACAGCCTTGGTCATCTTCCTATGCGAAGGACGAACAACAATCTAACTCTATCCCAACATGAACTAAATCAATTCCAGTTGTAGCGCCCTTGAGGGTACACATTTTGTCCTGGCTTAGTCTCACCCCCTAGTTTTGCATCATCCTACACTTAATCGGAGAGCAACGGGACAAATGCTAGTTAACAAATGTAGGCGTCACTTGATCTCAGAGCCATCGTGAGGACCCTGCTGCAACTCTGCAATTCCTACGGGGGGGGGGGGGGGCTTGGATTTTTTAAAGGCTTAAAATTGGGATGGGGCCCCTTTTTTAAATGATCAG